TCTTTATAATATGCAAAAATGATAAACAAAAGCAAGATTTGTATCTCTTTTCTTTATAATGTTAGTGTAAAGTACTTCTTATGTTTACAACTTTGAAGAAACTACGAAGAAATAAAACGTAACAACTTCTAAAAGGAAAGAATTCTCAAGTCACTAGTGTTGTTGGGAAGTCGCACTTTCACCAAATGGTAATGGAATCACGCCCGAGGTTAAATGTTTCGATTTATTCTTGAATCAACATCCCGATTTATACGTAGGTCATTCTTGTTTGGTTGAATTTATATCGGAAGATATACTTCTATTTCTAATTTCGGACACACATGTTTATTTGAAGGTTAAATACAGCGTTGCTATAGTTACCATGAAAAAAACAATTTAATTCAGAACCTCTTTATTTTAAAAGTCGTTGAAAAATCAATATGATATTAAAAGGAAAGGGGAATATTGCAGTTATAAACTACTAGCTTTCGCCCGCGACCACGTGGATGTAAAAAAAATCAAAAGTGAGTAGACTATGTGTTCTTCCAGACTATCCTCTACTATACCAAATTTCATCAAGATCCGTTCAGCCGTTAACGCTAAAAACTCTAACATCCATCCATCCATCTAAACTTTCGCATTTATAATGTTAGTATGATTTTCATTGTTATTATAAAATAGATAATTTTTTAGTGATTCTTTTTTCAACCTTTCGTTATCCTGACTCACTGTATAAAATTTTATAAAATTAAAACTACTGACTGAAACACTCTTTACATTTATATACAAAAAAGTAACTTGTATGAAAAATCTACGTACTTCAAAAACCTATTACTAATCATCATCATCACCAGCTCACTATACGTCGCCACCGAGGGGCTCAGAGCCTACCCTAATAAGGGGTGACTAGGCCATAGTCTACCACGCTGGCCCACTGCGGGTTGGTTGACTTCACACATATCTTTGAATTTCTTCGCCGATATGTGCAGGCATCACGATGTTTTCCTTCACCGTAAGAACGTCGGGTAAATTATGTACATATGAGAATCCGAAAAATCGAAAATCACATTGGTACGGCGGGATTCGAACACAAGACCTGTAGATTACAAGTCAAGTGTTTAAACCACTGAGCCACCGATGCTCTTATTTCTAATATATGGTAAAAATAATTTTATTCATTACTTTATACTGCGATAAACAACAATGAAAGCCTATTTTAATCACGTACATTATTTCAAGGAGCTATTGCTACTAAATTAAAACTTTGACAGATTTATGAGCAGTTGTAGAAAATTAAAGAGGCCAATTACTTTTAAAAGAAATAAAAAAGCAGTGAACTATTTACAAGAAATAATTAAAGTTTACTATTATTTATAAGCTAACTATAATTTTGTTAATTTAAATTTGTTAGTTCATTGCATTAGGGAAATGAATTAAATTTTTAAATACATCTTACATTTTACTCGTCTCTAGCTGCAAAGGAATTTGTAATGTCAATTTATCTCGGATGCAGCTAAGTTGTGTACTTAAAGTTGTCTTAACTAAAGTTACTGTATATAATATCTGTATTCACTAACTTACGATGTTTATAAAATGCATTATTTAAGCATTTTTAATGCATATTATAAACAACAACGTAACTTATTAGAAACTAGCTCTCGCCCGCGACTCCGTACGTGCGGAATAAAAAAAACAAAAGTAAGTAGCCTATGTGTTCTTCCAAACTATCCTCTACATCTATGCCAAATTTCATCGAGATCCCTTCAGCCGTTTAGGCTACAAACTCTAACAAACATCCATCCATCTAAACTTTTACATTTATAATATTAGTAAGATATTCAAGTTTTATTCATATTAATAAGTTATTTTACCTTAAAAAGATGTCATTTAACAAAAATGTACCAGGAGAACATACTATTAAGTTCGTTGTATTTTGTAAAACAATTGACAGCATCGTATTAAAAATATTATGCATTAAAAAATAAAAATGAATGTTGCCAGTACCGAGGCTCCATTGTTCAAACTGATGAATAAATAATACGCACGTAGTTACATTATTTGTAAATTATTATTATTCAGAAACGAAATTAAACATGAGTCCTATTTAAATTCGGTCTGTCGTGGAAGTCATTTAAATTCATTAGGGCCGCCGCCAATTTGAATATTCCATTTGTTTTATTATGCTTTGTTAGGATCAGAAATTTTCTATTAATAAATTGTAATATTTCATTCGAAAAGGGCATTACTTAATACATTCATTGCCATTTCTCACAGATAAAGGATTCGATTAAGTCCGCTGTAGATTAAAATTTTGCCTAAAATTACAAGTGTTCAATAAGAATTATCAGTTAGAACTGAGGTTGAGGAGTGAGCGTTGTTAAGTTGACCATTTTTAATTAGCATTGGAACATTATTTCATACTGATTAATCTAATATACTATTATGATATACTATTATAATAAAGCGTAAACACACACTTCTTTGTTGACTAAGATGTCAGCAATCACAGCATATTTTCGAATAACTCTTTTTTAATAAATAGCCCTACAATTACGCCACGCTTTAGGCTATATATTTTCACGCCGTTAAACTTAGGGGTAAATATTTTGGATAAAAACCCTAATGTGGGAAAGAGATCATAAGTTGTTGCCAACATCAATTAGGCAAGATTTTTAAGTTTTGTCATGTCATGTCATTTTGACGTTTGCAATTGAAAATTTGACACATGTAAACATTTAAGAATTTTTTATAATTTTATGCGGATGAACCTGCATGGGAACAGCTAGTTATTAGACAAATAATAAGCACCAAAAAGTGGTTAACGTTTTAATATCGTTTTATTAAATACAAAATCGAATGAAATCTCTAAAATCCATAACGTTATTAATATGGATATGCCGATTCTATTTTAAAAGTATAAAATATATTTAAATACATGTTTTAATGTTGTTATTATAAAGCAAAGAGCGATATCTGCATGGCCGAGGATTTGTTCGTGTCCGCGAGACGCGCGTGCCCGGATTCGCGACCCACGCTTTGCATATTATGTACATAATTTTAATTTTATATAATGTAACATTTCACCTTTATGTTAAATACATTGTTATACATTTTTAAAACAGATCTCTCTTTATAGAAATATTTTAAATACCGTCAAATGAAGCCACTTTATGGTCTAGAAACTTCTATAATATAGGTAAGTGATACAAAACGCTAAAAAATAAAGTCGATTCAAACTACTGACAGATACTAAAACATCATGTTTTAATTAGTTTTGCTTTTGAACTGTGTTAAGCTGCATTCGAACCTCCAAGCTTCTTCTCTATTCCTGATGTGCATGACCATAGATGATCACCGGTGTTCCTGCTGTTAGTTGGCTGCCTTCTTCTACTCATACTTTTCTCTCTACTTCTTTTGTTTTTGTGTTTAATAATGTACTTTTTGAGAATCACCTTCATTATGCCAACCAGTATCAAACCAGGCGCACCACTGGAAACTCTTTGACCCCGTGATGGTGCATAATTACTGTGCATAAATTTAAAATATTTCCGAGGTGAGACGCCGTCGGGAGATGTCTTAAAAATTATAACCTACTCGGAATCGAGTTATGTTGTCGTGTTTCAATGCTAACAAAAATATTGTTTATTCTGTGTGGAATTTAAAAAAAAATAAAAGTTGTGCCTATACGTTCTTCCAGTCTATGCTCTACATCTATGCCAAATTTCATTGAAATCCATTCAGTCTGTTAGCCCATAATCTCTAACAAACATACGTAATCATCTTAAGTTTCGCATTTACAAGATTAGATTTAAAAATCAAACTAACAAAGAAAAGAAACTTGCATACATAATCGCAGAATTACATACGAACAGAGAACATAACCCTATATGTATCGTAAAACGACAAAAAAATTTGTCCCTCAGCTATGTTATCTTTACTATTTTTTGTAATGTAATTTTTGACACTTCTAACTAAATATTTTGTCCATTTTTTAACTATTGCATTTTATTGATAGACATATCTAGTATATGTACGTGTCATTCGTAGATCGATGTTGCAGCCGGCAGAGATCGAACGATATCTCTCATAGCCTTTTGATGGAACCGTTATCAAAGATCATTTTGTTAGCAGGACAATGGATACGTTGATTGGACTCTACTATGAACTATATAATATAGAAAAGAGCACATATATGAAAGTGTTTCTTTAGTTTAGTTGTTTCATAGTGAATTTAAGACTTAAAAAAGGAATAAAAGTAAGTAGTGTTTCTTACTTAGAAGAAACTAAGGTAAAGGAAAGAGCGTCGGTGGCTCAGTGGTTTGAACACTTGACTTGTAATCTACATGTCTTGGGTTCGAATCCCGCCGTGTACCAATGTGATTCTGGATTTTCCAATTTTAATATGTACATAATTTACCCGATGTTCGGCGAAGAAATTCAAAGATATGTGTGAAGTCAACCAACCCGCATTTGGTCAGCGTGGTTGATTATGGCCTAGTCATAAGGGGTCTTATTAGGGTAGGCTCCGAGCCCCTCGGTGGGGACGTGTAGTGAGCTGGTGATGAAGGTAAGGTAGAGATTATGTAAAAGCAATGCTCACAAAGGAATTGTATTCAAATAAGACGACTGATAGAGATGTATGGAAGAGCATACTGTGTTGTGATACATTTGTTGCAATGTAAACTCACCGTTATATGATGTACGTAACCAGCAATTTGTCAATGCAATAATAAAACAAACAATTACCGTAATGACTTCAAAATGAAAACATCGTTAGAGTTGATTGCATTCAATTTATTATCGTAAACGTAAATAACAAACTCATTATTGTAATTATTAATAATTATTTTTAATAGTGATTTAATGTACAGTTTTCACTGACGATATCCGAGATAGAACATCAGTTTTCTTTTTTCTCTGGTAATTTATTTATTCAGAAAATTTTTAAGTGTACAATCTTAGCAAATTTTTTTCACTATTGTTAAAAATTAAGCGTGTAATACTAACTACTGTGAACAATAGCAGAATATTATTTATTTCCTCTGATTTAATACAGCAAAATAAGAATATGACATTCGTAGAATCTGAAATAAAAACTTTAAGTAGTATAAATTACATTAAAATTAAACAAAACTTTTAAAAGAAAATACCACCAGAAAACAAAAGAAGTTCTGTAGGTGGCTCTACACAATCTGTCTAAGAGTGGGCGCACGAGTAAACGATCACACAACTGTTTTGCGATTGTCGATTGTCAATTGTTTCGCAGACAATTCAACTGTTTGGTTGCACTAAAAATCGAGTAGTGTGCGCACCTCCATATAAAGTCATAGGAATAAAAGCGTGACTAAACAGTCGTGGGACAGTTTAGCAATTATTTAAATTAATAAGTTGGCACGTCAATGCAAAGTGTACCCTATTACAATACACTTACAGAAACAAATGTCTGTCTCGATAATGGTACGTAATGTCCCGCTTTCAATACCATTGGTCTGCCCATACGCATCATAACAAAGTACAGAGCTCGCTTAAACTTGACATCCTGTTCGTACCATGCGCATTTATATAGAGTTGTATGGAAATCTTCACTCTGTATAAAAAAATATGTTACACAGCGAATGTATGCACCTATATATAAAAACAAACTGTCGCCCGCAAACTTCGTTGGCGAGGAATTTTTAAAAAAAAGGTCATCTATAACATTTCCGCGTGCATCTACTTTTTATCAGCTACCTTCCAGTCAAAATCCCGTCCAAATCGGTCTACCTGTTCTAGAGATAGCGGTCGCCATTTTGACAGCGCGGAAAAAAGTAGCCTATAATATGCTCGTCTATGTCAGCTACCCTCCAGTGAGAGCCCGGTCGAAATCAGCCGAGCCGTTTCGGAGATTACCAGGAACAAACTGGGCTTGCGGACAGACAGACAGACGGACAAGCAATTTTTAAATGCGATTTCGTTATCAGCAACGCAAATACATCTTCTCGGAATCTGGAATTTTTCCTTTGATATTACAAACATATACTCCACTTTTATTATATGTAAGATTAGCTGTTCCCGTGCGACTTCATCTGCATAAAATTATGAAAATTTTATTTTGTTGTTTACATTTGTCAAATGGCAATGGCAACCTTGCTTCCTTGATGTTGGCAGCAATTTATGGCCTCTTTCCCACATTAGGGTTTTTATCCAAAATGTTTTCCCCTAAGTTTAATGGCGTGTAAAAATATAGCTTATAGCGTGACGTAAGTGTAGGGCTTTTTATTAAAAGTATTATTAAAAAACATGCTGTAAGTGCTGATATCTTAGGCAACAAAGAAGTGTGAGTTTACGCTTTATTACAACAGTATAGATATAGATAGATACCTATCTATCTATCTATTCTATCTAGATATAGATATTGTCATTGAATATATTAAAAGATAATTACTGTGGCAGTAAGTTCGTGTCCACACCAACAGCTAACGAATAGTTGACTGATCATGACGGACAAATACGTCACTATAGATGCGAACTGTAAACTTCTCCAGTCCACCTGGAATATGAGAAAGAGATGGGATAATGGGAAGGAAGGAGACAGAGATTTTTCATTGTTTTATTATCTTAGAGGTTATCTGAAAGTCTAGTTCTAAAAGTGTCTACAAGTGACAAGGTCCGAAATTATTTAATGTCAATTTACGAACACATTAAGTTTCCTTTTTTTCTTATGTAGTGAGTTTTAGTTATGTTTTTCTGTTTATCGTTCTTTGTTATGTATTTTTTTTTATCATAAAGCAGTGTTAGACTGTTAGTGTATCCATGATAATGGGTTTTTAGTTATAATTATTTTTTCTCATTAAAATTTAATTTGTCTCAAGGTATATATTGGCTTCTTGTTAAAATAAAAAAAAAACACTTTTCTATGGTTTAAAAGTTTAACATATAACCTAAAAATACGCTCGGTTGTTTTATTTTCTACGTTACACCGAATTAATATCGAAATATCGTGATATATCGAAACATGGAGTAATTTTAAAAACTACTCAAACTGCAACGGCCGCGTTTCCAATCGATGACCTATCGCGTAACAGTATAGGTTACGAGGTCACTCGCTCTTTTATTTCGTTTCAATAGACTTTTGTACTTCGAAAACAAAGATTTTAAATGTGAATATTTAAATTCTCTTACCACTAAGATACGTAAAGCGGACATGCAGATAAGACCAACGCTGCCAATCAATTGAAAGAACAGGAACGTATGGAAAGCGTCTTCAACGAGTCTTGTAAATCTGAAATTACGAAAAATATTACGAATAATTTCCCCTAATAATCAGTGAAACTAAACTATCACACAACTGTTGTCTCGCTTTGATGTCTATAAGTTTATACCGAGGTGGGCACACTATTCGATTTTTTGTTGTGCAACTAAACAATTCAATTGGCTGCGAAACAATCGAGAATCGTACAACAGTCGTGCGATAGTTAGTACTCTAATAGTATGAAAATCTGAATTAATTTGTGAAGTACTCGTAAGGTTTGTAATAAAATGGTGCTTAATATAAATGTTTAAGAAACTAAATATAGATTGCGTAAAGTTTTTGCGAAAACAGACGAGTAAACAATGATCTTTACTTAAATGTTTAAGTTATTTACTTAAGCGTTACTTACGATACCACACTTTGATGTTGTTTTATGCATTCTATTAGTTTATTATAATTATTCTCTGAATTACGGTTATTAATGCCATCGTCTGTCTTTTTAAGTGAATTTATCTGCAAATATTTTAGAGTTAACAAAATAAAATTTGTTTATTCAAAAAACACCGCGGTGACGTCATAGAAATCAAGACATGTGTAGGTAAAAGTATTTTCAACTACACTTACGCTCAAAACTTTGTCTTTGATTATGTCAATCTGTGCGCAACCAAAAATGACCATAGATAATGCAACGCTGTCAACACCAAAGTACATGTAGGCACTCATGCATATCGTTACCAGTTGAAAGGCATAGCCCAGTACGTACTGGAGTGAATGTTCCGGTGTTACTGGCATCCTAAAACAGTTAGTAAATAAGTAAACTTACGTGAGTTAAAAGCTTATCTATTTGTCTTTGATTCAGGCAGTCCAAGTGCTTTTTAAACCTTTTTTGGAGTTGCTAACATTAAAAGTATTTTCTTAACTGCTTATTTATACTGAGGTGATAGCCTCGTGGCTCTAGTCTCGTGCTTGTGGCGCTTTGTACAACAGTGGTAGTTGTAGTGGAATTAGGCAACGATACAGAAGGTATATATTACGTCCTACTAGCCATAGGCATTTAAAGTCTATTTTTTAATTATTAATTTAGCTACTAGATTGTAAATAGTTTTGCAAAATGTCTGAAACATTACCACATGTCGAAGGGAAATTTTCGGCTTCCTGCGTCATCGAACAAGGGTTTGAGAGCCCACAGGCCGCACGTCGTCTGGGAACTTATCATAAAAGCCAACAGCAACCTTTTGATACGAACAGCGTGCCATTTTAGGATCCTATAAAAATATTGAAATCAAACTCTGTAAAGCTTTTGCTATTTTATTTTTTATCAAATTCTATCAACATTTATAAAAAAAGTTCTCTATGGTTAAAAATTACTTATTGCCAATCTTCGAGGATTTAAATGTAAGTACGAGAAATCTTTACTTAATACTACTAGAGGGGTCATTTAAATGAGTTTGATTGACCGATATATTCACGATGATGTATATTTACAGTAAACATTTTTTATTATAAATTATAACAGAAAAAAGTAGAGTTTTAGATTTATGTATTATAAGAAAATATTAATTTTAAATGTTTACCTTTCATGTTCTTCACAGAACGGTTTGAAAACATCTCCGTTCATTCTTTCCAATAAATTTCTAACCATAGACACATTCAGTTGGAACACAGTCACTTTCAGGCATAGACAAGCTTGGGTAAAAAGCAAATAAGATGCCTGAGATACTGCTTCAAGTTCACCCCACACTTGGATAATGTAAATAAATTGAAATATTAAAAATAAATATTGTAGCATCATCATAAAAATTCTGTACCATTTGTGGAGTGTTTTCTCATTAAACGGTGGAACCCACACCCCTAACAATTTCATTACAAACTTCGCTCTGTTTAAATACAGATCTTCGGAATTCATTTTTCAATACAATTGCTTCGACTTCTTCATGGTAACTGATAGGGTTGTCAAACATCTTATCATATGAATTGATAAACAAGCCATGTCTATTAAAATGATTGCATAAATGGTAATTTTGTAAAATACTTAACTATCTTGTTACATTGTTAGAAAACAATTACGTTAGTAATAAGTGTGTTATTTGAATTTACTGTTGTTGCTTATTTAGTAAATGTTCATTACTTACAAAAGTGAGGCATAAGAACGCTGTAATTCAAATTTCTTGTTAATTTTTAAAACCTTGTCATTGTTAGTATTAACTTTAAAAAAATAATAAAAAAAATTCTCGCACTTGTTAAATTTTAATCAACAAGAAAAAGGTCAGACAGAGATCTGATTTTATTTTATACCTATTAAAAAAGTTTAAAAAAAGTTAGTTTTACTAATTAAAATAACAACTTAAGGAGTGCAACTGGTCAAGTGGTAGTTTATTCGTTATAAAAAAAATCTAATTTAATGTAATATACAGCAAACGCGTCGTGCGGGTAGTTATAAATGCAGCACTTACATGCGGCTTGTGGAGGTTAATTAATGAATGTAACATGCGCTTGCGGGGGAAATTCGCACCGCAACCGCACCTATACGTTCATCGTTCAACGTTCACCGTTGCCGGATAATTTGCCAAATTTAAATTTCGATGAGTTACAAGCAATATTGTTTTATAAAATTCACATTCATTCAAACGCGATTAAATTGGAATACTGGATGTTCAGGTCCTGTAAGAAGCGAGCCTATTTGTTTCTCAAAAGCATGCAACGCATCTGTAGTTCCATTAATGATGCGATTGTCCAGAGACGTTGATTTTGCAATAAACTTGAAAATAAAAAAATAGTAAATGTATAATTTCTCAAGAGCATGCTATCGCAAATTTTTAGTGTTACTTTGGTTCCTATAAGCTTATATGGAGGTGCTCACACTACTTGATTTTAAATTATGCAACTAAACAGTTAAATTGGCTGCGAAACAATCGACAATCGCACAACAGTTTTGCGTTTCTTTAGTTTTCTTTATAACATATGGTGGCAAACGAGCAAGCGACCACCCGAATCCGCCAAAATGGCGAAGCGACAGCTGCTAATAGACATCCGCAATTGCAGATGCGTTGCCTGACCTTGTCAGACGGAGGAAAAGACGCACATAAAGAGGATATATACCCTTCCTATGCATCTCCTCTACCGTAAAATCCACTTCCCGTTCCCATCCTCTCCTTATAAGAGAAGGGTGGTAAAGAGAAAGGGATTTAAATTAGGCCTCCGGCACCACATTCATCAGACGAAACACGGAATTGCTTCCATTTCACGCCTGTCTTCTGTGTGGTCGTGGTATTACACCGGGCGTGCCGTCCCTGCAGTGCTAAGATGTTAAAGCGGGCACTACCACTGTTAGTCAAAGTTTTGCCCGCTCTTATAATTATCTAATCAAGTTATTTACGTAGTGTTCAGTTTCTTTTGTTTTAGATTAATTGCGATGTTTTTCATCTCAAGGTTAACTGTTTGTTATTACAAAACTTTAAGGATTGATAAACAAACGTTAATTAAAATTAGTAAAGTTTTATTGTAAAGTAAATAAAGTGTAATATAACTGAAATTGTTTAGTAATAACCAAATGAAATCCAATTAAAATACATTAATTAATAAAGTTTAAATTTAAATTGAATTTTAAGACACTAATGGCCTGTCCCACCGAATTAAATGCCTGATAACATTCCAACGTGTAAAATGTGTGAGGGTAATATCGGATTTTGTTCCCTTATCTGACGTCATTTTTAAGCTATCTGTGGTGGGACAGGAACTTAGAAGTTAAGTTGCAAAGTTATCACTTCATGGTAATATCTACAGTCTATGGTAGCAGAACAATATCAGTGTTTTCTTTTACTTAATAGTTTTATTTTATTTACAGCATTCATCGACAAAGATTATTCTCTGCTATTTAGTTATGGTAAGCATGCTTTAAGTTTTAAGCTCGAGTTTACTGAATACTATTTTTATACTATTATATCTAAGTATAACTAACTAATTCAATTCGCGGTTAACATTTCGTAGCGAAAATGAAACGGCTGACGAAATGCCAAAGGAGCCTATTACGAAAATGTGCGAGGTCTTGCTTATTTCAAATTCTATTCATAAAAAGGTCTTTATTTTAGTGTTCTTTACCGATGAACGCTTCAGTAGTTCCTTTGTATTGTAAAGGTGGTATAAAAAAAATTGTGCTTTTGTAAAAAAACTACTTGAAATAATGTTTGCTAATAAATCAACATTTGTTTTTTTATTCAGAGGTACCACACTATTTCTATAATAATTAGGTTAAGTAGTTTACTCTTTACATTGGCTTTGAGTGGGTATTATAAGTTAAGTTGTATTTGTGGTTTAAATTAAGTAGATTCTTGGTATAATATCTCTTTGAATTGGTGTAAAGTGTTCTCGGAACTATCGTTGTTGAATATTCCACGTAAAATAATGATTAATACTGTTGTGTAATTAATTTTTTTTTTAAATTAATTACTCGAGACTTATTAATCCTTGAAAACAAAGACGAAACTGGCACCCTAAGGTTTTTCTTTAAATTTGCTTAAGATACCGTGAAATTAATTGGGGGACTGAATTGTTTGCACTCTCAGTGAATTAAATTGGAAATTTTGAAATGAAATTCAAACAACTTAAATGATTTAATAACATCGTTAGAAATTATGAATTAATTCAACTAACACTTACGTATATTGAACATTTTTAATAGCCTCTACGTTTTTATATTTGGATGCCTATGAAGTGTTAACATTTTTAAATACATTTTACTGAAAATCTTTAAAACTACCCTATAAAGTTAACTGTTTATCGCAAACAAAACTGGTTCAAGTTCTCTACATACTGATAAGTAATTTAAGCAAATAGTTCCGTCCACTGCTACGTTACTACGATTCTCCGTAGAACCGTAGCGATGTAACCGTAGCCACGTAGCCACGTGCTAATGACGTACTATTAGTCAACTTGACCGCAACAATCTGTGCTAATTAAGAAAATTAATGTTGTCATTTTTCAGTTTTAACCAATTGTATAGACTAGTAAGTAATTGCAAACACTATAATCTTACTAATATAGACGCGAAAGATCGATGGATGTTTGTTAGAGTTCACAGCCTAAACTGCAGAACGGATCTCGATGAAATTTAGCACAGATTTAGAATACAGTCTGGAAGAATAAAAGCTAGTAACAAGTTTTTTTTTTTTAAATTCCACGCGGTCGTGTCGCGGTGTAAGCTGAATATTTATACTATTATAATGAAGCGTAAACACACACTTCTTTGTTGCCTAAGCTGCCAGCAACTACAGCATACTTTTGAATAATTCTTTTTGTAATAAAAAGCCCTACAATTACGTTATGCTTTAGGCTATTTATTTTCACGCCAATAAACTTAGGGGGTAAATATTTTGGATAAAAGCCCTAATGTTGGAAAGAGACCATAAGTTACTGTCAACATCAAGAAATCAAAATCGCCATAGTAAGGTAATTGGTATTTTGACATTTGCAATTGATTATTTGACACATGTAAACAATAAAATAAAATTTTCATAATTTTATGCGGATGAAGTCGCAGGGGAACAGCTAGTGGTATGTATAAATTGAGACATCGTATTTACGAAATATATTATGTTTTAGAGATAAAATATTGTAAATCAATATATTATGGAATGTATACACATTGAACATCAAAACACTGTTATTGAAAATGTATTATCACAAGATTTTTCCATACCAGAAAAGAAATTTATGCGATAACGTCCCTTGGAAATTGCTTTTTCCTTTTTCCTTATTCATTAGATTTATAGCCTACTTTCGATGTACAATATATTTTTGTTTTCTCTTTTGTTCATAATTAAAATAACGCGATATATGTTTTTAAAAGGTCGCATAATTGATTATACATATAATTTTATAATTCATCTATTTCCACTTTCGTCTTCGTAATAACTTTTATCTGAAAGTTCTTCAGCGTGTAATTAAAACAATATTGTAAAAAGCCTATGCTTTCATCCATACTATGTTCTCCATCTGTGTCAAATTTGATCGCTATCCGATAAGTAATTTTGGGGATAAGTTGTAACAAACATCTGGACTAGAAAGTCTAGTATAGTATTAATATTTTGACCTGACCACTGGTTGATTGAGTCATCGGAATACGCAACAGGTGGTGTTCTAGTTTTAATCATACTAATATTATAAATGCGAAAGTTTAGATGGATGGATGTTTGTTAGAGCCTAAACGACTGAACAGATTTCGGTGAAATTTGGTATAGAGGTACACGATAGTCTGGAATAACACATTTGTACTCACTTTTTTTTTAATTTCACGCGAACGGGGTCGCGGGCAAAAGCTAGTGTAGTATTTTGTATGTTGATAAATTATGTAAAATGTACATATTAAATAAGAAAATAAAGGTATATGGAATAAATACTATAACCTAAATGTCCAGTCCTATTGCATTCAGTATTTATCAATCTACTAGCTGTTTCCGTGCGGCTTTATCCTCATAAAATTATGAAAAAAATAATTTATTGTTTACATTTGTCATATAAAAATGACATCACATGATGACAAAACATGGCAACTTTGCTTCCTTGATGTTGGCAGATCGTAGCTTATGGTCTCTTTCTCACATTAGGGTTTTTATTCATATTTGCCCCCTAAGTTTGATAGCGTGAAAGCATGATGTAAGTGTAGGGCTTTTCATAAATAATTTTTTTTTTCAAAAATATGCTGTGATTGCTGACATCTTACGTCACAAAAAAGTGTGTGTTTACACTTTATTATATTAGTATAGATAAATCTATTTGACGTAGAAAAATATAAAAGTCATACATCTAAAACGTAACTTCCGTACAGTACGATACAATGCTAACAATGCCAACTCTACAAATTGCAAC